CCCGGGATCGGGATTAGAACTGTAATCCCGGGATCCCGTGCAAACCCTAATAAGTATTAGCGATTAGGGTTTGTTTGGCAGAATTAGTGGTTTTCGAATCTGTTTGAGTATCGAACTCGAACGCAAATCATTTTTCATGCTCTGAATTGAGATGAGGCTGATAAGTAGGGAACCGATTGGATGCACTCATGAACTCTTGGGAGCGTGTGCCTATCCAATCAACATATACCGCTCGCAAGAGAGAGATGATGATGAGCATGCGATAAGTCTTCAAATCTCATCTTTGAAAATTCTGATGGTCGTTCTCATGGATCAGTACTGATGGAATGGTCACAAACAGAATGCTAGACGTTTTTGGTCAATACCTCCCAGTGTTAGCAGTACTTGACGACGACGGTAACACTGTCGGGTTTTTTTAAGGGGAGAGGGGAAATCTCGAATAATTTGAAGACGACAGTTTCAGGTGAGAGAGGGCGGTGTGAACGGCTGCAGTCGTTAGTTTTTTGATTGCATCCATCATAAAATAACGATCAAAATGAATTCCTTGAAACGAAACCTAATCAAGCTTTTAAGTCGAACACTTGTTGACAGAAATGCTTTTGAAGCGAGGAAGAAGTCGTTGTTTCGTCGACGAAACTTTTCAACCCAAAATGAATGACGTGCAGAAAAGATTATGCATCGCTCGCTCAAAATTAGGACCATCGAATTATTTACATGAGATGTAATCGAGAGATTGTGTGATGAGGAAATACCGTAATCGATGCATGAATTATGATCGAATGACGGTCATGCGAAGCTGTTGCAATGATGCAAATAATGTATGTTCATAGGTTCTTTCATACTAAAGCATTTGTGCTGGTAATGTCTTGCCCCTTTTCCAGCTACCCTATCGATACTTTTTCAGTTCAGCGACTTTTCGTCGACGCTTTTCTATGTATTCCTCTGATAGTGCCGGATTTCCGAAATTTTCACATGAGTCTAACCGCATCAATTAATGAATGCGCAACAAATTAATTCATTCTAGAAACGAACTGTTCATCCCGAGACAAAGCATCGAGAAAGGAATCAGAATGGAAAATAGTGTATGATGCAATGAGCGGCAACATGGTGATAACATTTGATAATAAACTGATTAAAGAAGCACCAAAAGTAGAGTACATTCAACGTTTTTAGTATGACGTATACTATACACGCCATAATTATTTTGAGGGTGAGCACGCAAAATGAGCACGATGAAACAGAGCACTGAGCGAATTTAATTGCTAACTATAATATTTCAAATGAGTAGCAATCTAACAACCTTTACTGGTCATTTGAACACCCCAATTACCAAACGTCTATAAGGGAACGATTAACAATTCGTAATCTGTCACTAACAGGAAGCCGTTACAAACGGCAGTATAATGCTCACACTTCTCAATGCATTTCCATGAAATGAATTGCACATAAATTTCACAGTCCAAAGAACTGATCAATAATTCATGATTGTGATCAGGAAGAGGAAGTGTTATGCAATGAGCCAGAACGCATCATCGGAAAGTGAACTGAGAATGCGTGGATATGCACAACATTAGGATGGCAGCTTTTTGAGCGAAAAAAGATGGATATGTACAAAATGGATATGTACAAAATGGATATGTACAAAATGGATATGTACAAAATGGATATGTACAAAATGGATATGTACAAAATGGATATGTAC